CCAGAGACAGGAAGTGATTTTAAAACAAGATCCCAGAGACAGGAAGTGATTTTAAAACAAGATCCCAGAGACAGGAAGTGATTTTAAAACAAGATCCCAGAGACAGGAAGTGATTCTAAAACAAGATCCCAGAGACAGGAAGTGATTCTAAAACAAGATCCCAGAGACAGGAAGTGATTCTAAAACAATATTCTAGAGACAGGAAGTGATTCTAAAACAATATTCTAGAGACAGGAAGTGATTCTAAAACAATATTCTAGAGACAGGACGTGATTCTAAAACAAGATTCAAGATACAGGAAGTGGATTTAAAACAAGATTCAAGAGACAGGAAGTGATTTTAAAACAAGATTCAAGAGACAGGAAGAGATTTTAAAACAAAATTCAAGAGACAGGAAGTGATTTTAAAACAAGATTCAAGAGAAAGGAAGTGATTTTAAAACAAAATTCAAGAGAAAGGAAGTGCTTTTAAAACAAGATCCCAGAGACAGGAAGTGATTTTAAAACAAGATTCAAGAGAAAGGAAGTGATTTTAAAACAATATTAAAAAAACAGGAAGTGATTTTAAAGAGAGTTGTTTGAGTCAAAATGATTTCACAAATAATTCAGACGTTATATATCTCGTTATAAAAATGTGAGCACGTACGCTGAGATTGGGAGACGACTTTGGCTCGACTTCGTCCCCTGCTGTCCACCACCGATGAGCTAGCTCCGCCCACACTGCCTGAGCTTTGTCTCCTGGTGCGAACACGTCCTGAGACACAAACAAACTGATTAAAAATTACTGTTTCTACTGTATCCAGATGCTGGGAAAGAAAAACAAATCTCAGGAAACTGAATGAGAGGACAGAGTCTTCTGAAAACATAGGGACGGACAAACTTGAGACAAAAAGATTAAATTCTAGATTTATTTTGAACAAATCATGTTCTACACTTTATAGTGTCATCAAAATCTACGTTTTTAAGATTTATAACAAAAAACTTAGCTAACTGGTTAGCTTCATGTCAAACTAAGCTAAGTTTCCGTTCAAACAGCATCAATACCAAACTATTAGCTAAAAGGCTAGCTTTATGCTAAGTTCCAGTTCAGTAAACATCAATACCAAACAATTAGCTAAAAGGCTAGCTTTAAGCTAATTCCAGTTCAAACAGCATCAATACCAAACAATTAGCTAAAAGGCTAGCTTTATGCTAAGTTCTAGTTCAATAAACATCAATACCAAACTATTAGCTAAAAGGCTAGCTTTATGCTAAGTTTCAGTTCAATAAACATCAATACCAAACTATTAACTAAAAGGCTAGCTTTATGCTAATTCCAGTTCAAACATCAATACCTGACAAACCATTAGCTAAAAGGCTAGCTTTATGCTACTAGTGTCTGATCCTTAAGCTAACAATGTTTAAAAAGAAGTTCTGCTGTCTGAGATTAAACTTTAAATGTAATATTTTAAAGGCTTACTGAAGCAAACCAACAGTAGCACCAAGCTAAAAGACGAGTTTTATGCTAAAAGGTGTCAATTAACTAAAGCTAACGGTGCAAAAACTGCTTTTTAAAATAAAAACTGAATCTTTTGTTCCATTTTTAGACTAAATATAATCTAACATTTGTTAGTTTGAGACAGCTTAGACTAAAAACTGTTCATTTATATTTTAACTAAATGATAAAGTTGTTCACACAATAAAAAGAATCTGTGACAATAATTGTGTCAAACATGAGTCTTCAGATCAATATGAGACAAAGGACACAAGTCAGGGAGGACAATGAACTTTAATCACACCCACATACGATGCTTTATTTTTTAATAAGACAATATTTGTGTAAGAAATGCTTCAGATTTCAAAAAGTCCTCCGGTTTTATTCTGATAGGTGAGCTTTTAAACCCGTTGCTTGTGCCTGATCACAAAAAGGCTGCAGCGAGCGGAAAGTCTGCAGGTTGACTTTACGATAAGTCAGGGACAGAACGCCTGCTCACCTTGAACATCTGAAGCAGGCGGTTACATAACCTGACAGGAAAAGTCCCTGAAAAACACTGCCGCTGATAAGAAATGTTCCAACAAGCTAAAAATGAAAGTGGTGATTTATGTTCTTATCAGTTAAACAGTTGAAGTACAACCAGTCAGATTGTTGTAGTGATAACTGAGCTATTGTGGGAAAATGGAATCTGTAGTATGAATAGAATGAAAAACAGGTCATTTGAAGACTTTTGTTGCTTTGCATTCAGTTTTTATGTTGTCTAATGCAGGGCTGAACGATTAATTGCATTTGTGATAATCTCGCGATATGTTAAAACAAGATTTTCTAACTGCACTGGCTGTGATTTGACTGGTCACGTGACCTGGAGTGAGCCGAGCGGAGCAGTGTTGTCCATTAGAGACAGTAGCAGCGTTTCCATTGTAAATGTGCACAAAACTTTGTTGATATTCTGTTAATGTGAAAAAACACAGTTTCACAACTGCAGTGTTTCCATTAAGTAATAAATGTTATTAAAGTCACGTGAATACGTTTGTTCTCATAAGTCATTACATGGCAGCGATGGATGTAAACACATGGCATGTTGCTACCACGACACTAGCGCTCGTCATCAGAGGAGACGTCGGCGTCTTTTATCGAGGCTTTCCAGAG